ACCTGGATTAAAAAAAAAAATCATGGTGGGAAGCAGGTCTCTTTAGAGCACTGTATTTGATATGTCTAATTTGATCATAGTTGACTTATCTGTTTTACTTTTGACTTTTTTTTAATGTAGTCTACCCACAGTACCTTATTCATCTCTAATTATACTTTACCTTACAAAAGTTGTTTTTTCTTTCTTTCTGTAATTCTCTCATAGAGATATCAGAATTAGAGTTATTCACAGAGTTTTGGAGGATTCTCAAAACTCCAAACTTCAAAGAATGTTTAAATAGGCTTACCATTACTTATATACTTATCCAAAGAGCAGTAAAAAACATAGTTTTTTAATAAATTTCAATTGGGTTCTTATCTCTGCAGTTTATTAAAGCTATTAAAGTAGAGCATAGTAATTAGAACAATTGCAAATATTATTGATCAGTCTTTATATAGATGCATTTCAATCTGAATTTCATTTTAATTCATGCTCTCTTGAATAGTCTAACTGATGATTTTTCATTAGAAGTTACACCACAGTGGATCTCTGGGGGTCCATGTTATCCTTCACGATTGCTTTGGCTAACTGTATTCAGGGGAGCACCGGCCTTTGTAATTATCTACTTTAGCTGACTGCCATTTTATGTTTTATCATTTAACTCAGAGGTCCCGAACCTTTTGGGCACAAGGGACCGGTTCCGTGGAGAAAAGTTTTTCCACGGACCAGAGAGTGTGTGGCTTTGTGTGCTGCCTACATTCCACGGATGGGGCTTTGTTTGTTTGTGCGGATCGGTTGCTGGCATGCTGCAGCCTGGTACCGGTTCACAGACCGGGGGTTGGGGACCACTGATTTAACTTAAGGAATGTTGAAAGAGATCTCCTACTAGTTAAGAGCTATACGGTGTTAAATTGTGAGTTGAGAGTGATATTCAGTGACTCTGGTATCCTATAGTACTGTATGCATGCAGAGTTTGCACTGCTTGTGGATATAGTTCAAATCCTAGAGCAAGATGGTAGGAATTCTCCAGATTTTTGTTTTCCAAATTGGAGATCACAATCTTTCATTGGTGTTTTTAAATTAAATGGGACTTTGTAGCCCTCCCACGGAATGGCCAGTCATTTTTTAAAATTGTTGAACAAATAGAGCATGAACAAAAAGAATGAGATAGTATTATTGGATAGATGCCAGTTTTTGCACTTCCCTGTTGGTCTGCTGGAGGAAGTGTTGGTTAATATACAAGCAATTCACAGCATTGTAAGAAGTCAGAATAATCGTGCATCTGCATGGATTGGTTTACAAGGGTTTGGAGATGAAAAAAGTGGCTATGTAAATACCACCCTTCATTTTCCTTCTTTTTCAAGAAAGAAAGCGGGAACAGAGATCCTGTGTAAATGTTAAAATGGCTGAGGACAATCAAAGTAAACTTTAATCTAGGCAAGATGGGAGAGTCTATTGCTTGGGTTATTGATAATTAAACATCACAATCTCTACCTGTGTGGGTAATTTTAGCCTAAGTCTTGCATATAGGTAGTCCTCAACTTACAACCATTCACTTAATAACCATTCAAAGTTCCAACAGGATTGAAAAAAATAACTTATGACCATTTTTCACACTTACAGCCTTGTGGAATCCCCATGGTCACGTGATCAAAATTTGGATGTTGGCCACTGACTCGTATTTATGATGGCTGCAATATCCTGGGGTCACATGATCACTTTTTGTGACCTTCTGACAAGCACAGTCAATGGGGAAGCCAGATTCACTTAACAACCATATTGCTATTTTAACAACTGCAGTGATTCACTTAACTGTGGCAAGAAGGGTCATAAAAATGGGGCAAAAACTCATTTAACAGCTGTCCCATTTAGCAACAGAAATTTTGGGCTCAATTGGGGTCCTAAGTCGATGACTACCTAAATTGATTACTTGGGTTCTTCATTCATTATCAGTCCATATTCTATTACATCAGTGTAAAACAGCATTAGAAAAGCAATATATGTCACTCACACCTAAATCACTATTTGGTACAGGCTGTGCAGTTAATAGCTCTCGATGCACTAAATGTTCATGTCAGAGAGTCCTAGAATTATTGCACAGAGTAAAAGCTCTTTAATCCTTCAGACAACTCTGGCAATGCCTAACAGGATTATTTCTTATTATAAAAAGTGACAAGTGTTTTATAGTCTAATTTATTTAGATTTAGTTTGTAAGATCCAGTATAAATAAATAGAATACTAATTGACTTAGCTAACTGGGCATGCCAAGATTTAACTGAGCACTTTGGAATCCTTTAATGCTATTCTGCTTATTTATAGTATTTTAAAAAGGTAGTTTTTACTTGCCAGAAACTTGGTCCCACCATGACAGGGCATCAGTAATATACATTTTAACTGATGAAACTGATAAATTATACAAAATAGGTTATAATATTAAAAAAGTTTATGTAGGGATTGAAGTAGTTTTAAGTTAAAACTGAGCTCTCAATTATGAGTTTTCTCAACAAGAGGATTTTTAGTTATTTATATGGATATCATGAGTTGCATTCAACTTCTAGTTGTGTCTTGTCAAATGCAGTTTGGGTTACTAAGATACCCATTGTTCTGTTTTTAAATATTTTCACAGAAAATGAAAGGGATTATCAATTTTATCAAGCTTGACTCAGCCTTCCATCCTTCCAGTGGCTGGTAAAATGAAGACCCAGTTTGTTAGGGGTCAGTATAATGACATTGTAAACTGCCCATAGAGTGCTGTAGGATAGTATATAAGTCTAAGTACTATTGATGTGTATGCTGATTACATAAAATTATGCAGAATAATTCAAAGTACATGAGATAATGAATCCTCTTAAAAGACAATTCCAGGTGATAAGAATGGGCAATAACTGCAGTTCAATATAAATAAGCAAAAAGTTGATTAACATTGTCATAAAACATAAACTTATATAAGGATACTCATGGGCGCCAAACTGTGTTTCCAGGTGAAGAAATGGAAAACAGTATTAATTATGGGAGGGAGGATATTCCTTAAGGAAGAAAGCCTAGCATGATAAAATGGCACTCATGCTTCTTGGAGAAGTAGGTAGGCATACAAAATAGGATTCAGGCTTTTTGTAGCAGGGATACCCAAACCTATTTCTAGACAACGGATAGATCTGGAAATTTGGGAGCATGCTGTGGATGCTCCCTATCAAATTAGCTTGAGTTTGCACATACATTCACAACACAAGTTGCAGATAAGAGATCTTTCTTAGGACTTTCTACCACCCTATAATCACCACATGGCTTTCCTCTGCCTTAATATTTTCTTCAGCTCTGTCTCCTTTCAAAGGACAGTAGAGGGTGTCATTTCCATCCTCAGGCTTTCCCTTTCCTAACAAACATCTGCCCCTAGTCATCTTTCTTTTCATTTCACTTGTCCCAATGTGAAATTACTTTTCCTGAGTATGAGTGGTTAATGGTTGACAACATTCCAAAGAAAAAAGAAAAGAGGTTTATAAGAAATGGGATGGAAGGGGGAGACGGGAAGAGAAGATGTGCAGGCGCTATGTATCGCAAGAGGCTATTTGGATCAATGATAAGATGTCTGGAAAGATTTACTACTGTAGATTTTGTTAACTTGTTTTTGATAAGTAACTGCATTTTGAATGATAGTATTTCAGAATCATTGGAGGAGATCAAATTTACTTAATATAGATATGTGTTTCCTATTACATTTTATTTTTAGGACATTTTCCATCACCTTGAAGAATACAGTCAATAAATATTGGCATTGAATCCTTGCACTATAACAAAAACTGCTTTATATACTTTACAATATGGTGTGTTTTGCCATCACTTATGTAAATAGTGGAAATGGCCACGAAAAGAAATACAACCCATTCAGAAATTCTGCACATTTTTGCCATTATTTAGTTTGATGACATTAAATTTAATAGCACTTTACTAATTTTGGCTAATATAGTAAGGTAATAAGCTAAAAGCAGTGTGGAAGACATATTCTGCATAACATTTGTTGGAATCAATGGCGTATATCCAAGGTACAGGTAGTTCTTCAGCTGCCTAACAGCCATTCAAAGTTACACCCAACCTCCCCAGCACTATTTATGACTCAGTTTTGGAGTCACAATGGCCATACACATTTGGTCATGTGATCACATTTTGGGTACTTAAAAAATGACGAGCCTTTATGGCTGTTTGCACTGTCCTGCTGTCATGTGACCACAATTTGCAAGGTTTTTTGTGGGTTTTTAATGTGTTTACTTCCACTTTCTGGCAAAAAATGCTGTTTGGGGAAAATAGATTTGCTTAACAAATAACAATTAACAATTGTTAACAGTTGTTAACAATTAAACAAATAGATTTGCTTAACAATTAAAATGCAGTTATAATTTTGAATCTGAATATGTGATGTCTTGACTTATGACCATAATTCCAGGTTCAATTATGGTAGTAAATCAAGGACTACTTATAATTCCATAAATAATAGCTTTGATTCTTAGAGCTTTAGCAGAACTTCCAACTGGATAATATTTGTTTTGAAATTGCTGCCTTGTTTGAACGTAGTGTAATAAACCACATTCAAGCACGGACAAGCTAGATGGGGATATATTTTGTTCTTTCATAGCTGGAAGAAGCCTCTGAGCATGCTTCCAAATTTTGTGTTATCCAAACAAGGCAGTGAAAGATGAGGGGAAGATATGAGTACCCAATCTCTTCTACATCTAAGACCTCGTGGAAATCTTTTATTAAATGGATCTAACTTGCAACTACATTGAAACAAAAAATAACAGGGAGTAAGAATTGGATCAGTAGTATCCAGTCTAACAAGATTCCCATCTCACAAGATTCCCATCAATGCTATACTGTAGACTATAGGTAATTAAATGTTACATTTTATTTAATTCCAATTTGTATAGAGAGCATTTGAACATAAAACTGCATATGCTCTTTTATTTATGTCGTATGCTTTTGTCATAACTCTGCAATCATTTTCAAGTTGTGTCTTCATATTGTATTAGGACAGGAATAATGTATCCGCTAGCCATGGACCACTGTTGGAAGGGCCAGAGACAGTAAGTGTGCCACTTGTATGTAGATGTGACTAAAGCACCACGGGCTGCTCACCTGAGCTCAAGCTTATAGTCTTCAGAAGCATGTTTTTTCCCACCCTATAATATACTTTTAAGAATGGGCTTGTGTGAGAATTCTTGATGCTGGCACAATGAGATCCTCCTCTATGCTTGAATTTAGTTTGAACATGAACAATTCTTGTTCGGTTGTACACTGACTGATATATTTTATCATGCTAGCAATGCAGTTCTATATACTGGCTGCAATGCTTCTGATCTGCACAGTTATGAAATGAAAGAATTTATGGCTGAATGCTGCATCAGGCACATCGTAGAAAAAAGAGTGAATTGCACACATATTTCTATCCATCTATTGAGTGATTGGGATGAATAATAATAGTAAAATAAATAGCAGAATCTTTCTTCCAGATTCTGTTGAGTTGTATTCAGAAGCTACATGAAAAGATTATAATCGTCCATCAGTATTTTTGTTGGTGGTTTAACATCTGTGGATTGTTAAAATAAATTATTACGCAGGCCTGCTTTAATTTAGATTAGTTTGGATTATGGCCCGGTATTTTCAGTCAGGATATAATTCCTGCATGCTGCTTAGATTGCTTGCACCATAGACTGCCCTACTAAATATTTTCCAGTAAGCAGCTTTCTTACCAAAATCATTATATCACTTCAAGGATTTATTTTGCATTCTTTTTTTTTTTTTTTTTGTCTCTATCCACCCTACCCATCTGGGCAGAATATAGTTCAACTGAGCATATAGTGACTCAGTAACTAAGTTCTGATGACATTCTTAAGCAGAGTTGGTAATATGTGAGTATAAAGTAGATTTATTTTTCATTTAAAATAGATGGTATGTGTGTGTAAATGCTCAGGTTAATAGCTGTAAGCATGGCATTTGCATTTCTAGTTTGTGGGGTTTTTTTATTGTGTCTCTGTTGTTAAATGTATATTTGAGTAATGACTGGTTTAGTTACTTTGTAGATAGTTATTCACATTGAAATTTGTTTAGAAATAATTGTTTTAAAGTTGTGCTTGTTTCCAAAATATTACATAAAGAGAAATAACTGTCAATGTTATATTGAAACATATGTTAAAATTAGAGTTTTTCATAATAATATATATAAGGTTTAGATTTTATCTATTTTTAATCTAATACAGTGTATAGCTCCCACAAGTAGCTGCACAAGAGATAATCCATTTTAATTTGCTAATTTGGATTAGAAATAAACCATAGTATCTTGCACGCGAGCATTCAATCTAGGTTTTGGGCATTTAACAGAATTGGGTGACACTCTGATTCCCTGGGTCATGAGATTATTATATGTGCAATTCAAATACAGTTCACACATTTAACTTTTCTAGTGATTAATTATTAATATATTTCAATTTGATTGTTCACCTTGTATAATATAATAATGTTAAGTTACTTTTAGTTCTCCATTTCATAAAACTTAAGAAACGTTCAGTTGCTTCCTACTTTTTATTGATTTAGCCACTATTATTTTACTGGAGTTTGTTTTTAAGTAAATTTTTCTCTCTTTTGTGCATTTTTATGATAATCCTTTTAAAAAAAAACTCACATACAACGTTTTGTTTGGTTAGTCTGTTCTTGTTTGAGAATATTTTTTTTTGACAACACAAAAACACATTTGACGTTTCATTTCATACATTATAAATATTTAATAGGTATCATATAATAAGATCTTGTTTAATTATAATCAATTCAAAATAATGTAATAAAATTATACTACATTTCTGATTAGTTTGAAAACTTTTAAGGCATTATGTGTTGTTCAAGACTTATTTGGTTTTATTTATTTGGCTCTATTCAAACTTATTGTCAGGGGATGTATGAAAGTTTTTGCATTTCTTGACAAAGCAAGTATTCTTGTAATGACTGTTGCAGAATTTTCATTTGCATTACTACCAAATTATATTGAGTATGTTACTCAGAATATTTAATGGGAAAAGTTATTAACTTTTCACATTATCAGCTGATTTCTCATTAGTAAATAACAGGAATAGTTCAATATTTTTCCATTTAAAAGCATTTACAGTATTAATATTTGCTTTAGTGTAGTTGGATTATAAAAATGCATTAATGAACAAGTGACTGTTTTTAACAATGAATGCTTATTTTTGAAATAATTTCTCATGATATTTACATGTCATAAATATGTCTGTAGTTTTTCTTTTTAGAAACTATATTGTGTTCATTTATTTTCATTTATTCCATTTTACTAAACTATCAATTTTCCATTTAATTTACTCATAAGTAATTGAATATAAGAGTGTAGATAGCTATAAATATGACTTCATAGATACATTCATGAACCATATTGCTAACATATGATATTAAAATATGGCATAATATCCTCTATTTGGGAGGGCAGAGGGGGAGGGAGAAGAATTTTTTAAAAAAGCAAACAAACTTTTTTGTTTGCTTTTTTAAACTTGGCTCTCTTCCTGAGCCAAGAAGTTAATGCTGGTGAGCAGTCAAATTGTGGTGGCACCATATAATTATTCTTGTGATAAGAAATATTGATCTTCTTAAATCTTTTCTAGATAAAGCAGAGCTTTGGTTTCTTTTTTTAAAATGAAATTTCTATTTAAGCTTTATCATCTGAATAAATTTAAAATGTTTGAAAGTGGACTTGAGGCCCATCCCATTTGGGCATGATAGAAGTATAAATGATTAATTAACTTTTAATATACACAAACCTTTGATATTTGATTGAAAGGGGAAAAAAGCTTTTCACTCTACTGCAGTGGTTCTCAACCTGTGGGTCGGGACCCCATTTAGGGTCGAACGACCATTTCAGGGGGGTCGCCAAACAACGCAGTCCGCCATTTTTTCCCCTTTTCCTTAGCTGTGCTACTCCCTTTTATTCTATTGGCTTTTGAAAGCCAATAGAATAGACTCTCTTGAATAGAGTCTAATTCTATTGGCTTTCAAAAGCCAATAGGAATTGTCCAGGCTGTCTCTGCCCTGCTGAGCCCACCCAAAGTCCCATTCTGCAAACATTGCTGCACCAGTTGAGTAGTCTTTGACTTACGACCGGTTGAGTAGTCCTCGACTTACGACTGGTTGGGGGTCGTGGCATTAAAAAGGTTGAGAACCACTGCTCTACTGTATTAGTTTATATGTGACTGTAACTAAATGGATGAAAGACCATCTCCAATGTGAAAACCATAACCCAAAGATCAGCTTGACTTTACATCATACATTAACAATGCCTGCTACCCTGAGATCAGTCTTATTTTAATCATCCCAAACTTTCCTAATCCTTTGATTCAACTGATTCAACTACACAATCAGGGTGATTGCAGGTTTATTTTTATTTCCATGCCACCCTCAGAACTTGGGTTTTTTTAATCATAGTAGACAATTTCTGATCAAGATCTGTAGTAGGAAGGACTTTCACATTGTGTGGTGCATGAATCTCTTAAACTGAAAATGCCAGGGTTTGAACTAAGGCACCTTCTGCATGCAATTTTCTTGAACTATAACCAGCAATGCCTAGCACAGTCATTTTTTTTCATAAGCATGTGGGATTTGAATTTGGATCTCCTCATTCCTAGTCTAATGATGATACTTCTCTAGTTCTTTGAATATTTGAATGTATAGCGTGACAAAGCTCAAATATTTAAATATATTCTATTTGATTATAATAAACAAATGTAGCATACTGCATAAACATGTACTGAGAATGAGATCCAACACAAATTTCACAAAGGAAAATCTACTCTTTGTAACTGTGTAGATGAACTTGTTCTTAAAAATCAGTATCAAATATTTAGACTGTTTATCTTTCTTTGTAACTAGGTTATGTGGGTATGCAACTTATGCCGGAAACAACAAGAGATCCTAACTAAATCTGGAGCATGGTTTTTCGGGAGTGGTCCACAACAACCATCCAGTCATGATGGTACATTGAGTGACACAGTTACGGGTGCTGAATCTCCTAGAGAAAAGAAAGCTAGGCTCCAGGAACGGTCACGATCTCAAATACCCCTAAGCACAGCAGACACAACTTCACAAGACATATCCTCTGGTGTGCAAGCAAACAGAAGGAAAGCCCCAGAAGTGTCTCAACAAACTATGGGCCTGGAACAGAAACAAACTGCTTCTAGATCTAGAAGTGAACCCCCAAGAGAGAGGTAATATTGTTGCTAATGGGTTGTTCCTGAATAATTATGGGAAAACCATAACTATAGGATTAGTTAGTGTGGAGGGTTTATTATAAATGAAGAAAGTTATCTGACCTTTTCATGGAATAGAAGTTGATTATCAGTGGTGAAGAATCAGTGGGGAGGAGGAGAACTTTGAGGCAGCCTTCAACGGCTATTCTTGATATACTCAGCAGGGACTAAAAGAGGAATTCCAGTTGTCTCTTCTACAAAATGAGAAGGGTGAGGGCAGAGAAGGTAAGCCTAGGAGAAATCAAAAGATGGAATAAAAAAGAAAAATGATCTGTTTTTTTTCCAAAATATACATGCATATGATCAACACAAGAGTTCACATTGCTTGACTTGGGAAAAATCCATGTTTTGAATTGCTAATGTTGTCCTCCTACTCCTCTCCATATTGCATTCTTTCCTTTACATCTTTTCCCCAGTGGTGTGTTTTTGAAGCAATATATTGTAATGTGATCATAATGATTGCTTGTGTAGAACATCTGCAAAGTGCATCCTAAGGGCTCCAGAAAGCCGTGCCTGCATCTCAAACTGGCATTCAAAATGGCTGTTTCATTTTACTTAATAATGCAGGATCCGATCCCATTGGACTTATGGGAGACAATTTGGATTAGAAATGTTAGATTTACACAAGCTCAAAATTTGAGGGAAAATTTTTATAAAATGTTTTACAGATGGTATTTAGATCCTAAAAAATTATCTTGTATGTATCCAAATTTACAACCCAAATGTTGGAGATGTGGTAATATGGATGCGACATATTTTCATGTTTGGTGGAATTGTAAAAAGGTAAAGGCTTTTTGGATTATGATTTGGTGGAACATTCAAAAGATTTTTAAAAGGAAGATAAAGTTCACCCCTCAATTATTCCTATTGGGTATCTTTGTGGATTTAAATGACAAAGAAACTACTTTAATGTTGAATTTATTAACTGCAGCAAGGTTACTAGTAGGCTCATATTGGAAGAAGGATTCGTTGCCTACTTTAGAAGAATGGATATTTAAAGTTTCTAACTTTGCAGAAATGGCAAAAATTTCTGCTTATTTGAGGGATCATACACAAGAAAAATATATTATTGTATGGAGAAGATGGATAGATTATATTCAGAAAAAATATGGTACTATAAAGTTTCATTTACTTTATGAGTAAATTTTATAGTAACTGTTGTAGAGATTTGTTTATATGACTTAATTTAAGGGGAGTTAAAGGTTAAGTATGATGTTTTTTTCTTTTTTTTTCTTTTTTCTTTCTTCTTTTCTTTTTTTTTTTATTATTGTTAACTTTCTTATTAATAACCCTGTACTCTGCTCTGGGAAGCGAAGGGGGAGGGTTGAGGGTGGGTGGGTGGGTGAGTGGGTGGGTGGGTAATGATAATATAGTCATGGTAAATGCTTGGGAATTTCCCCTATGCTGCGTTCATGTGTGTGAGAGGGATGAGAGGGGAGGAAGGAGTAGGGAGGAAGTAGGATGGTTAGAGGAGAAGGGGAGGGGACGAGAGTAGGAGGGGAGGAGAGAAAGAGGAGGGAAGTGGGGAAGGATTAGAGAGGGTGGACGCAGCCTGGGGGGAATGGGCAGGCGGTACCAATGGTTAGGAATTTAATTGTATTTTGTATCAATAAATGGAAAATAAAAACCTTAAAAAATAATAATGCAGATAGTCTTTGACTTACAACCACAATTGAGGCCAAGATTTTTGTTGCTAAGCAAGACAGCTGTTAAGTGAGTTTTGTCCTATTTTATGACCTTGCTTGCCACAGTTCTTAAGGGAATCGCTGCAGGTATTAGATTAGTAACACTGTTGTTAAGTGAATCCGGCTTCCCCATTGACTTTGCTTGCCCAAAGGTCATGAAAGGGGGTCACAGGATGCCAGGACATTGCAACCACTGTAAACTAGTAGCCAAGATCTGAAATTTGATCATATGACCACAGGGATGCTACAGCGGTCATAAGTGTGAAAAAGGGTCATAAATCCCTTTTATCAGTGCTGTTCTAACTTTGAACAGTTACTAAATGAACTGCTGTAAGTTGAGGACTACTTGTATGTCCAGTTATGCACATTTGATTATTTAAGACTTAATTAACAATATTTACATGTAGCTATTAATAATATGTGATTTAGCAAAGATGAAAAATGCATAAGGTATATCAAAACGCTTAAAGTCATCAAATAAAACCAGATATCCTCATACCCATAGTCTAAAAGCAATAAAATCTGGGTTGTTTTAAAAAGATCTTCTACTAGTGCCAGAAATAATAAAGTAAAAGTTACAGATAAATTCTTTATAAGGAAAGAATTCTACAATAAGCCTTTTTTTTTTTTGCCACTCTGAAATAGAGATTTTGGAAATAGGCCTTTAAAGACTGTTTCAAGGCATGGGCAGATTTTAAAGAGGAGAGAGAATCCTTCTGAAAACATGGTTCAAAAATATTTAATTTTTAGAAATTAATAGTAGTATGTAAAATTTGGTCTAGGAATAGTTTTGGAACTATAGTAGACCATAAATCATTAATGTGACATGATTATATTGAAACAATCTCTTTAGCAAGTTCACTATCATATTTTGAACCATTGCATTTTCCAGGTATTTTTAGAAATGTTCCAGTATAAGGATTTGCAATAATCCATAAGACAGTTTACCAATGTATGAATAACTTTAATTAAAATACAGAGTTCTAGATAGCATATTCACCTAATTAAAAGATTTTTAAGATTAATTTTAAAAAACAGTATCATGTAACTATTTTAGCAACTCTATCTTCTACAAAAGGTTAATTAAGGATGGTAGAAAATTAATTATCCTGAACTGAACTGAATGTAATTTGATAACTTGCATCTATGCAGACGTATAGCGTGGGAGTCATTTAAAAAAAGCATCCAGCATTTTATTCTGCATCAGTAGGAGGCGATGTAACTATGGCTGTATGAAAGTGGTAACAAATCTTGTTCCTTATTTCCTTTGCTGGGTCAAAAACCCTGGTCCACCAATGCCCAAAATTTCATTAAGAATAGTAATAAACCAAATCCTGACTGAATATTGTGCCTGGTCATATTGGTTCTTTAGAACCCATGCATTTCCTAGAATTGGGTCAGCTGGCCAGGAATCTAATTTTTTTTCAGCAAAGAAAGGAATGAGTTCCTAGAAGATCTAATGGTTGTTTGGTGGGATTAGGATGAAGTGGGAGTTTCTATCTAAATTATAATTGCACTCAGTCACACTGAAGTAATACTGAAGATATTGTTCTAGCTGATATTACTTGCTTGAAAAAATACATCAAAATAGCATAAGTTGGCTGCAGACTAGCCAAATTTTCAGACAGGCATTAAGATAATTTTACACAACTTAAACTTTTTATTTATTTTATTTATGCAGAATGCAGTAAAGTGTGCAATTTTGGGTGCTCCAGAATTTTTCTATGTAAGACCACTGTTGCATGGGCTGCCCTGGTTGCGGTATTCTTTCAAGTGCAATTCACAGTATTGGCTATCAGTTTTAAAGGCCTACAAACTGACTTGCAGGATCATCTTGCAGGATAAGGAAGTGCAGCATCTGCTGGATGGAACAGCCTCTCCCTGAGATTCAGATGGTTCCACCCTCTTGGCCTGGTCTAGGACAATTCTCACCGTGACCAACTCTCGCTGTGGCCAGCTTACTGAGGGACAGCTCGCCATGGGACAATTCCACATGAGAAAACTCAGTGAGATAACTGTTGCCCACCACTCTTTCTTCAACATTATTTTCATTTTTGTCCATTTCCACAAAAATGGAAATTATGTCGAAGACACAGTGGTAGATAACATTTATCGCATTGAGTTATCCTGTGTGGAACTGTCCCACGGCAAGTTGTCTCATGGTGAGTTGGCCGCAGTGAGTTGTTCATAGCAAGTTGGCCCTGGTGAGTTGGCTGCGCTAAGTTGTCTCCCCCCCCCGAACATTAGGGGAGCCCCATGTACATGTTTTTGTTACAATGGAATTGTTATTTTTTTTGCTAACAAAGGATTATTTTCATCAATTGGTGGTGGGGATTTATATTGGATGGATTGCTCACTGCCCAGAGTTAGGCATTTAACATGGGGAGCTATATAAAATTTCTAAATAAATAAATTTCTCGTACTACTTCCTCATTTATATCAGGAAGAAGATACCCACCGCTTTTGAGCAAAATGGAAAAGGAGGTGTGAAAGCTGAGCGCAGGCGTGTGCCAAAGTCTTCACTACAGCAGAGTGAAGGACAAACAGATGAGAAGGGAAGTAAAGAAAGGCGTGATGGGAGAAGATTGGAGAAAGGGAGGTCTCAAGACTACTCTGACTTCCCTCCCCATTTTGAGGAAGGCAAGACAGTTAATGAAGAAAAACAGAGGAAAGAAGATGAATATAGCCGATATAGGAGCGATCCAAATCTCGCAAGGTACCCTGTGAAGCCCCATCCTGAAGAGCAGCAGATGCGGATGCATGCAAAAGTTTCAAAAGTGCGGCATGAGAGAAGACACAGCGATGTTGCCTTGCCTCATACCGAAGTTGAGGAGCCTGAGGTACCTGAGAATAGCCTTGGAAAGCATTCACAGTTGCAAGAAACTCGGGATATAAAATCCCAGATGGATGCCCAGAGGATACATCCAATAGAAAGAACAGGCGATGTCAGGGTTTCCGTTTCTAAACAATTAATTTCTCATACTCCATCAACGCCCCGCCATAGCATGGTTCTGACAGAACATTTAGAATCCAAAAACCATGATTCCTTTAAAGCACAAACTCGCTTAGATCCTAGCTCAGCTCTTCTCAGTCGGAAAGCAAAGCGAGAGAAAATAGAAACCATGCTAAGGAATGATTCCCTTAGTTCTGATCAGTCAGAATCAGTGCGACCATCTCCCCCAAAGCCTCATAGATCAAAGCGTGGTGGGAAAAAAAGGCAGATGTCCGTCAGCAGCTCTGAGGAAGAAGGAGCATCAACACCTGAATATACCAGCTGTGATGACGTAGAAATAGAAAGCGAAAGTGTCAGTGAAAAAGGTAAGTCTTCCTTTTTTAGAAAAGGAAAACAAAAAGTACTATACATGCTTGAAATGTGTAAGTGTATGTAATGTGTGTGTGTGTGTGTGTGTGTGTGTGTGTATGTATATGTGTGTGTGTGTATACACATACATGCATACACATACATACATGCATACACACACACTAGTATTATGCTAATATAGTGAGGGTAACTTTTTAAAAATCTGAAGTACTGCAAGTTCTTATGGATTGGGTTAAATCTTGGTAGGCAATTATATTATTAAAATACTATAGTTATACAAAATACCTTGTGAACTCTAAAGCTTCCTCCTTCCGTTATGTATTCAAGAAGGAAATTGAATAATATTTATATGCTACTTATATGTAAGGGCGTAGGTCTATACATATGTTGTATATAGTATATTTTAAATGTGTGTTATGTATGTGTACACTTTGAGAGGAAGCAACTAAATTTCATTTTTAATGTGTGCCATTGTGCCCACAGGAAAAAATGACAACAAAGGTTGTCTGTCTGTCTGTCTGTCTGTCTTCCTCTTAATGATGGCCAGTGAAAATAAGCAGTAAGGACTGCATACCTTCCTTTCTTTTCCTTGCTTTCCTCACCTCTTTCCTTCCCTGTCTTCTATGTAGTTCGTATGTTTAGATGACATGCCCTTCTCTTCTTTTTTCCTTAAAATTATTCGCTACGGACATAAAATTTATTTCTGAAAATACGGAGTTCATACTATGATGCGATTTATACTTATTCCATATACAAAGTTAGTATTAAAAATGTTAAGGATGCTGAGAAAATTGAAATGCAATGTTTTTTTTCCCTAGATGTCTAAGTGGCAAATGGTCTTTTTTTTTCCCATTTCACTATATGGTTACAGCAACTTGATTCTCCACCAGCTCTCTGTACCACCAGTCGCAACAAAACATTTTAATCACTACACCACACTGACTTTCCTTCCATTGATTAATATCAGACCCTCCTCCATCCCCCCCCACACACACCTGGTTGAGTTACAATAGAATTTTTCCTTCTTTCTTTAGATAATTTGTAAACTGTTTTTTTACCTCAAGCGCATAAACAAAGAAAGGAAAACCCAAAGCTGGCTTATTCTGCATAAAGAAAAGCAGGGCGGTTTTCCGTGTTAAACTTAGAAGATTACCTAGACTCCTTGCCATGTTCAGTCACATCGCAAGATGATACGGTGGCCTTCCATGTTAAGGAAGACTGCTGCAAAAGTGTAATGCATCTGGTTGGGACAGGCAAAATGAGAAAATCGGGTTAGGTCTTCATCTAAGTCAAAGAACAAGACGAGGCAGTCCTGCTTTACCTAAAAACACCCTAAATTATTGTTCCTCCAAAAGAAAGATGATGTAGAATGTAAGACAATCAACAAAGAAGGATTAGAAATAGGAAGAAAATAGGAAGGATTAGAAAGGAAAAAAACCCACTTTTCCCTGTTACCATATTTTCAATATATCTAAGATGACCCTTCCTTTTAATGGTACATTATTTGGGGAATGGGGGACTCTACTCTCTTTTAGTATAAAAAAACAGAATGATGCTCGCTCTTCTCCAACAAGTTCTCAAACTGTTGTTTTCCAACAACCACCATTTCAGTCAGTTGCCTCCTAGTAAGATTGGCCATTATAGTCCACCATGAGAAGCAAATGTGAAATTTCATATTTCTAACCATACACTTAATTCAACGATCTGTAATAATAATAATAATAATAATAATAGTAATAATAATAATAATAAAGTTGGAAGGTACCTTGGAGGTCATCGAATCCAACCTCCTTCTCAGGCAGGAAACCCTACACCATTTTGGACAAATGGCTGTTCATTATTTTAATGGCCCGTAAAGGGCTTTTTACAATGTGTATATTTATAAACTAATGTACAAGGTGGGATCAAGTTCTAAGAAAATTTGTCCCCTGGGCCCCCTGACTCAGTTCCAAAATCTATGCCAACAGCAGCTGCTAGAGCCTATAGGAAATAAAGGAAGCTTATATTGGTAGCTGTCTTTAATATACAGGCAGTCTTCGACTTACAACAATTCAATTAGTGACCATTCAAAGTTTCAATGGCAGTGAAAAAGTGACTTGCAACCAGTCCTCTTATCTCCCAACGTAGCATCTCCTCAGACACCTGATCACAATTTGGATTCATGGCACTTGACATGTATTTAAGATGGTCGTGGTGTCCTGGAGGATCTTTCCAGTCAACTTTCAACAAGCATAGTCAATGGAGGAGGCCGGATTTTTGACCACGTGAGTTGCTTAACAACTGCAGTGATTTGCTTAACAACCATGGCAAAAAGGTTGTAAAATCAGGTCAACCACTGCCTTACTTAGCAATGGATATTCTGATCCCAACCGTGGCAATAACCGTGGCAATAATCCCAACCTGTGTACATGCATGCACTTGTGTGTATAATGAAGAATTGTTGCAAGTTTTAGATGTCTTTTCTTAGAAGAGAAAAAACGCTTTAGAAATCTGGGCTTCCATCCATTCTTGGCTAGTTTTCTGACTCAGCTATAAGATTGCAGCATATATTGTTTGAAAGGCCAATCTGAGCCTTTACATTATTGATTACACAACTAGTGAATTGATGAAAATAACATTTTCAAAAGGAAATTGGAAAGTATAAAATGTTCCCAACACCTGAAGAAACTGATGCAGGCAAAAAAATAATTGCCTCCCTTAGGTCTAGTGTACAGACAACATACTTCAGCAATATACACACACAGATCTCTGCAATGTTAAACAAAGCCTTGAACATAGGGGCTCCATTCCTCTCCATTATTCTTCCATGGCTGCAAAATAAATAAACTAAGATTCATTTTCCTATCATGCCATTTATGGTTTAACATTTCCTGATCAATTGCTAAAAGATCGCCTTCAAACCTGACATGAATCTGCTTTGTTTGGCAAGCGAGAATGTAATGCACCATCCAATTTTTCCATTTTCTACACAGGAACAGATCAAGTAAAAAAGCTGAAAGTCTTTATAGGTGTTGCAAGGTATTTTTAAGGAATATTAGGTTACCTAAAGCCTGTAAATCTTTTCCTCCTATAAATTCTGGCTTAGTGCAGGACTCAAAATGAAAGATAGCAATAATTGGTGTAATATTCTTCATCGTCGTCGTCATCATCATCATCATGTTTTTCCCACAGGTGCAGGATCCGCTTTTCAGATCAAAATTGATAAAGAATATAAGAATATATATGCGTGATCAAAGAACCATATATCTAATTTAGGGGTGTCAAACTCACAGTGTCACATGACGTGTCGGGACGTATCGTGACTTTTTTTCCATTGCCGGCAATAGGATGGGCGCAGTTTTGGCATGACGCATCTGGCCCAAGGGCCGGCAGTTTGACACCCCTGATCTAATTGTATCTTTTAGCTAGTGCAAACATAATGTAATATTACCTTGCCCATCATCACCACTCCCTGATGCATATATCTCACATCTGCTTGGGCGGGCTAGGATGATGTGAAAGGAAGAGTGAGGCCTTACATCTGTCCAAGTGACATCCAATTTAACATAACATGTGAAGTGAAGCAATGCATTATAAGTATGTAGTAGTATCCATAGGCAGCATGAGCTGGCAAGAATCAACAGGTAAGACGGTGTTTCTAGACAATCAACTTTCCAAATTTTTTTCCATATTTCTGTTCTTAAATGAATATTTAAAGAAAGAAGAGAGAAGAAGCAGTGAGAAAACAGATTACAGATTACAGATTTCCTTGGCAAAATTCTCTTGATTGAAGTGAGGTAATTGCACAATTGCACACCTTACCTTGAATTACCTTTCTCAGTTTCTGGAATAACCCAAAGCTTTTCTCACTAGACCGTCAGCTGACAATGAAGCCAGTTCCCTAAACTCTGCTGAGCAATAATTGCTCACAATATATTTAGTGTAATTCAAATAAACAAGATATAATCTGGAATATAAAGCCCATGTCAAAGATATTTTAAGAGTTAAGTTAATTGTTCACTTTCAAACCCCAATTGTACTTCTTACAAATTCCTCCTTTGAGGGTTATTAAGAAAATAGAAAACATGGATGAAATAAAATCAGTGAACAAGATTCATTTTACAGCCTATTTGACAATATTTCACTATACTTATAACATGTTGATTAAAACTAAGATGGAAGTATCCATTGGAACACAGCGATCAGTCCAAATTAATATTACCAATCCGCCTTGCAGCTAAAATTTACTACAGGTAGTCCTTGACTTACGACCACAATTGAGCCCAACATTTCAGTTGTTAAATGAATTTTGCCCCATTTTACGACCTTTCTTGCCACAGTGGTTAAGTGAATCATTAAAGTTGTCAAGTTACTAACACAGCTGTTAAGTGAATCTGGCTTCCCCATTGACTTTGCTTGTGAGAAGGCCACATAAGTGATCCTATAACTCTGGGACACTGTGATAAACATGAGTCAGTTGCCAAGCATCTGAATTTTGATCACATGACTATGGAGAGGCTACATGGTCTTCAGTGTGAAAAACGGTGATGAGTCATTTTTTCCAATGTTTTTGTAACTTTGACAGCCACTAAGTGAATTGTTGTAAGTCGAGGATTAACTATACAAGGAAGAAGCAAGATTAATAGGATCACAGGAGCCAGAATTTCAAATTTTGAAGCCAAAAGACTTCAAGAGTAGCTTGAAGTTTGCAAACTACTTTGGGAGTCAACCCAAAACTTAATCTGTTGATGAAATTTTCTTTTTTTCTTTTCTTTTTGCAGTGAAAACAAAATGTGCCTTTTATTAGTGAGAATAACGTCCTTGACAGGTTGAAAATTCAGTGGGTACATAGAGAACATTGTATGCATATAGTCTGGATTTCTTTAATCTGTGCCAATGTGAGCTTAATCATAGCTTGGCCTAGAAAATGTTGATAAGGATTAGGTTTGCTCCTCATGACAGTATTAGAAAAGTATTAAATACTATATCAAATCTGTTTTTTTGCTTTCCATAGAGG